GTAATGGCAATTATAGCGTGAAGTTTTCTTTTGTAATGTCAATTATAGCGTGAAGGAATGTTCGGTAAGGTTAGTTTTGTTTACAAACATTAATTATACCATGAAGTATTCTTTGGCAATTTGTAATGGCAATTATAGCGTGAAGTTTTCTTTTGTATTCAGAAATGCACCAGAAGTTATAACCATAATGGCCGGATAGATATGCCGGATAACCGGATATCCGTTCCAGAAATATGGTAAACCATTGTTATTTTTTAATCACTTTTAATATTAAAATATACGGCAATAACTTACAAAGATGGTTTCTTATTAAAATGTTGTAGGTCATTTTATTTTTAAACCTTCGACGTTAAGATAATATAGTGTGGGGTAGTTGTAGCTGCTGTGGTTGAAGATGCACTTTTTGAGGTACCAGACGTTAAAATAATATAGTGTGGGGTAGTTGTAGCTGTTGTGGTTGAAGATGTAGATGTTGTTGGTGTTGTAGATGTTGTAAATGTTGTAGGTGTTGGAGATGTTGTAAATGTTGTATCTGTTGTAGATTTTGTAGATATAGTATATATTGTAGATGTTGTAGATATTGGAGATATTGGAGATGTTGTAGATGTTGTAGATGTAGGAGATATTGTAGGTGTCGTAGATGTAAAAGTTATAGACGTAGTAGTAATTGTAATCTCTTCATCCTCTAAAAAAATTAAACTATATAAAACTGATTCTTTTGATGTAATATTTTTCTTACCACATTGTTCTTTTGTTACGCACTCATCATTATCATTTCTGTAATAAGACCATTTACAAGCACAAGGTAACTTTTTAGTAATCTTATATGTCATATCATCGCATGATTGTTCTAACAATCCGTACTTTTCATTTTGTTTTAGAAAACAAAAGTTTAGAGAGAAGACGCGAGATATTAACAAACTAAAAACTACGTACTTTAAAGTCATGTTGACAATAAATTTGTATTCATGCTCAACTTAGATCGAACTCGGTTTTATACAAAAATTTAGTCAATGTTGCTTTTGCTGATATCGTGAGAATGTTTTGAAGTCATAAGTTAAAAATAACTTACATATATTTATTTATCTTTTTACTTAATTCCTTGAAAATAAAAAGCAGTTTTGGTTTAACACTTTCTTTACGTAAGATTTATTTCCATTATTACTAATGTTATAAAATTATAATAATGTTTGAAAATCTAAGAAAAGCAACAGAATAAAAATGTAACAGCTTATAACATTAAATGTAGTTAAATTTCTGATTTTAACGCAGATATGGGATAGTTGTGGTTACTCTTGGGCGCAGTTGTAGTAGTGGAGGTAGTTTATTTTTCTGCTTAGTTTATTTTCGTTTGGACATTTATCATCTATAAACAAAATGATAATTATTACCTTAATTAGCTTTGAAAAAATAAAGAATTTATAACATTTGTCCATCTGATCTAAATCTGCAGCAAGAAGAAGAAGAAAAACAAATTTTATTCTGTACCCACAACAAAAATAAAAAAATTAAGGGGTGAGAATAGGGCTACCGACCAAGGTCTTTCTGCCCGTGATTTTTGTAGTCGGCGGCTTCCTTCAGTCTTCTCTGACTTCCAGGAGTTTTTGGAAAAGAAGAGGTGGGTTGTTGCGAGGGTGGAGTAATCGAGGCGATATAAGCGTGTGTTGCAAGGCGTTGGTAGGAAAATTTAGAATGGATTTATCGGACAAAGATTGAAGACGGGTATGGATAGGGGGTATATCGGTAAGTTGGTATAGCAGATCATTGCTAGGGTTAAAGAGGGGATTACGGGGGTTCCTAATTCGGGTGATGGATCTCAGTGCAGATCTTTCCGCTACTTCCAGGTGGTACTTCGTTCTTCTTGGTGCGTTGCTTAGCAGTATTGATCCATATTCTATGATGGGCCTGCATATGGTCTTGTAGATGTGCGAGGCACATGAGGTAGAGATTCCGCGACCGCTGAACGAGAGAGATTTAAAGTGTTTGGCGCGTGTCTTTACTTTCATCTTCACCTTGGTTGCATGAGTGGAAAACTTAAGCGTTCTGTCAAGTATTATGCCAAGATACTTGCAGGTTGGTGAGACGGAGATTGCCGTTGATTGGATTGTAATTGTGGGAGAGGGAGCGCGGGGTGAGAGGAATGGGACAAAAAATTGTGTTTTTGTGGGATTGAGTAGGATGCGCCATTTTCGGTACCAATTTTCCGTTTCGTTTATGAGCGTCTGCAGCTTACGGACCGAGGAAGTGATATCCCTACTGTGCGAGACCAATGCTGTGTCGTCGGCATAAAGTAGTGCGTATGCAGTGAGGTTAAAGGCGTCTGGGTTGTCGTTGTAAAGATCGTGGCAGAAAAGATTGTATAGAGAGGGAGAGATAGGCGAACCCTGAGGAAGGCCTTGCTGAGCGGAGAAGCTGTGGGAGAAGTGATTTTTCAACTTCACGATGGAGGAGCGATTCGACAGGAATTGGTTTATCAGGGTTAGAAGATAGTATGGCGTTTTTAGCTTATCCAGTTTAAATAGCAATCCTTTGTGCCACACGGAGTCAAAGGCCTTTCGGACGTCCAGAAAAACTGCTGCAGATTTCAGTTTTATAAAACGTGCCGCCTGGAAGTTGGAAACCAGAATAGTTAGTGGCTGGGATGTTGATTTGCCGGATTGGAAGCCAAATTGGTAAGGCGGAATTTTCTTTGATACCGCAGCCAGGAGCTTGTTCTTCAAGTGCGTCTCGAAGAGTTTTCCAATTACGGGGAGCAGTGAGATGGGGCGATAGTTGGCTGGATCAGATAGAGAAGAATCCTTCTTGGGAATACAAGTTATAATAGACGTCTTCCAGTCGCGCGGGAAATGCTGAGTCGTAAGGCAAAAGTTAATTATTTTTCTGATAAAGCCATGGATGTTAAGATCTAGACTTCTAAGCAGTTTCCTTGTGATGTTATCATAACCGGGAGCGGTATCTTTTCCCTGTCCAAGAAGAGTAAAATATTCGTCTTCCAACATGAGAGCATCTTCGGGTGTCTCGAACGGTGTCAAAAATGCGGATTCGTACCAATTATCTATAATGTTTTTATTGTGGGGACAAAACGAAACATCCTCGGTAAAGGTGAATACACCTTCTAGGTAGTCAGCGTGTATGTTGACAATCTCTTCAGGGTTGGAGTGCACACCGCCATCGGTAGGATCAATGAGCTCCTCCGTTCCAGGTGTCTTTTGGTATCTTGATAGTTTTCGAATTTCGTGCCAATAGTTTCTTCCTTTACACAGTTTTATTTTGTCACAGGCTTCCATGTACTTTTCCGTTCTGTATTGCTGAATTAGTTTCTGTATCTTTTTGTTGAACTCATTAAACTTCTTTTTCAACTCAGGCACTTCATATACCCTGAAGTCTCGATATAGGCGTCTTTTCTCCTTGATGAGTCTGATAATAAATGGAGGTAGCGGAAAACTGTAGTGTTTGGTGGTTCTGGATGGGCTCGCTTTGTCTATCGACTCCTTAAGACATTTGTTAAACCTTGAAATCTTGTCTGATGTGCTTCTATGAAGTCTTTCATTATTGAGTTAACTGTCTCCATGTTGCAAAGCTTATAGTTTTTAGTTAAAGTCGGAACAGGTTTAGGTACGTTGGTGCAGCAAGATTGCAGCAAGATTTTTTGATATTTTCAAGTGTATAAAACAAACAACATTAATTAGGAATTTCTTCAAAAAAAAACTTACCTTCTTTTAGAGCGACCATGGAAGATATTAAAACACAAAGAACTATATAATTGAACATGATGTTGAGAATAAAATTTGTATAGATACTCAAGTTTTGTGAAAATGTGTTGAAGTCATAACTTAAAAATATTTTGGTACATAATTAAGTTGTAAAAAGGGAAATACCAAAATTTGAGTACTTACATACCTTTTTTATCTTTTCACTTAACATTTTTACCTTGAAATATAAAAAAAAAACAATTAAATATTTTCTGTGTAAGATTTATTTCGGTTATTAACATATAATAACTTTTAAAAATCTAAAGAAAGAAACATTTAAATTTAAACAACTTATTTTCCGTATTTTCCATCCTTTTTCTTACACACGTAACATTTCTTTGGATAAGGTTGTGGATAATAATTGTAATGTCTTACAAGAACCTGGTGACGATACCCATAATTGCTTCCACAAGAATAAGAAACTAAAACTTCTCCTAGCTGACAATATTGAGCTAAAAATTAATTTTATTTATTAAGTATTAATTTAATAAACATTAATGGCTTACTTTCTGGTTTTGATGTAGGACATGGTGTTGTAGTTGGGGCCACTGTTGTCGTAGTTCCTTTTTCTTTTACATTAAAATTAAACAATATAAAATCAATTGTATTGATGTTAATTTTTTTCTTACCGCATTCATCTTTTGTGACGCATTTTCCATCTTTATCTTTGTAATGGAACCATTCACAAACGCAAGTAAGCTCTTTTTTGATATCGAATTTCTCATCCTCGCAATATTTTTCAAGTAACCCAGGTTTTTCATTTTCGTTCGGACATTTATCATCTATAAACAAATAAATGAATTGAAAGAAAATAACTCTTCGAAAACTTACTCTTTTCTAGAGCCAACACGGTCGTTATTAAAAACCCAAAAACTATATACTTCAACATGATGTTGAGAAAAAATTTGCACTGATACTGAAGTTAGGTTGAGCTGCGGTTTATATTCGAATTGAAAAAATCTGGTCAATGCGAATTTTGCGATATCGAAAAAATGTATTGAAGTCATCAGCTTAGAATGTTTAAGTATTTTGTAAGTTCTAAGAAACAAACAACGCATCAATTTTAAAGATACCGACGTATTTTTTTTATCTTTTTACTTATTTGCTTCGAAAATAAAAAAAAAATTATAAAAACCAATTTCATTTCTTTCGCGCATCATCAGGAGTACGTCTCTGAAAAAATCGTTCAAAAAATTGACTTCTTCTATGACTAATAACGAAAAGTATATGGACGTGATGCTAAAAGTATTTATTATAATCAGTTTACATATTTGATTATATTATTTTTAAAAACATTTATTCTATCAATATTTGTTATAGAATTGTAAATAGATAATAAGGTTAAAGTATATAAGGACAAATCCCAGGGGGAACGCAACCTCCATCCTCAAACATTCTAACATAACCCCTCTTACAAAAACATCCCTTAACGCAATTTGAGTTGCATGTTCTTTGAGGGTTCTTACATGTTGGTTCACATAGAGATCCACACGTTGAGAATTCTTCGCCTTTTTCACATTTGGAAGCTTCAAAATAAAGTTAATTTATTATATTCAATTTGTACAAAAAGAATAAACTCACTGTTAGGATTTTTTGGACAATAACATTGGTCGATACACTTTCCGCTTGATTCATCTCTCACAAGACCTTTCTTACATGAGCAACCATAAATACATTGAGGTATGGGACAAATTTTATCTACTGGGTTACGACAAGTTGCTTCGCATGGATTTTTACAAGAATTAACATATTCATTATTTGGGCAAACCTCTTAAAACAAAAAAAAAAAATTTTAATTATATATCAAAGTTGAGCTACCTGCAGTAAAAATATACTGCAAGTAAAGTATTCAGTATTTTTTTACTTTAAGTAGTTTACTGGAAGTACTTTCAAATTGTAGGTACTTAATACTTGTACTTTTAGTATTTAGCTTAAAATACTTGATATTTGTTTGACATAAGACTTGAAGAACTATTTGTTTATCTACTTCCAGTACTTGCAATAGTAAGTAAAACAATAATTTTTTAAAGGTTTCTTCAAAATCCTAGATAATCTTAGGAATTCTATGAAATCTTCTTGGTATGCTTGAAAAATCAGTTGAAATATGATATCTTTGGAAATAGTTTCAAAATCACTAGATATGTTTGGAAATTCCTAAAAAATCTTCTAAAAACTTGAAATTTTGGAGAAATTTTTGCAAAATTCTAGATAACCTTCGGTATTCTGAAAATTTTTTATGGTACACTTGAAAATCCGTTAATTTTTTGGAAATCTCCTGGAAATACTAAGAAATGCCTAGATAAGTGTTTGGGAAGAATTAATGATCCTAGGCATTTGTATTAATTCCTGGATATCCTTGGAAATCCTTCCAATTTTTTTAAATATCAATCAAAAACCTTGGATACACCCAAAAATCTTTAGATATCCGTAAAAATCGATGGAGAGCTTTGAAAATGTGTTTAAATTCCTTAAATTTTTTAGAAATACCTAGTAGTACATAAGAATTTTTGGAATTCGTTTGAAAATCCCTAGATATATTTAGAAATTCCTAAAAATCTTCTAAAAACTTGAAATTTTGTAGAAATCTCTGCAAAATTCTAGATAACCTTAGGTATTCTAAGAAATTTTTATGGTACACTTGAAAATCCGTTAAAATCTTTTGGAAATCCCTTGGAAATACTAAGAAATGCCTACATCAGTGTCTGGGAAGAACTAAAAATCCTTAGCATTCGTAATAATCTCTGGATATCATTGGAAATCCTTCCAATTTTTCTAAAAATCAATCAAAAACCTTGAATAGACTCAAAAATCCTAAGATATCCGTAAAAATCGATGGAGAGCTTTGAAAATGTGTCTAAATTCCTTAAAATTTTTAGAAATACCTAGTAGTATATAAAACTATTTGGAGATCGTTTCAAAATCTCTATATATGTTTGGAAGTTGGTAAAAAATCTTCTAAAAACTTGAAATTCTGTAGAAATCTCTGCAAAATCCTAGATAACCTTAGGTATTCTGAGAAATTTTTATGGTACACTTGAAAATCCGTTAAAATCTTTTGGAAATTTCCTAGAAATACTAAGAAATGCATGCATAAGTGTCTGGGAAGAATTAAAAGTCCTGGACATTCGTAATAATCATTGGATATCCTTGGAAATCCTACTAATTTTTCTAAAAAATCATTCAAAATCCTTGGATACACTCAAAAATCCTAAGATATCCGTAAAAATCTATGGATAGCTTTAAAAATGTGTCCAAATTCCTTAAAATTTTTAGAAATACCTAGTGGTATATAAAGCTATTTGGAAATCGATTCAAAATCCCTAGATATGTTTGGAAATTAATAAGAAATCTTCTAAAAACTTGAAATTCTGTAAAAATCTCTTCAAAATTCTAGATAACCTTAGGTATTCTGAGAAATTTTTATGCTACACTTGAAAATCCGTTGAAATCTTTTGGAAATCTCCTGGAAATATTAAGGAATGCCTACATAAGTGTCTGGGAAGAATTAAAAGTCCTGGGCATTCGTAATAATCATTGGATATCCTTGGAAATCCTTCTAATTTTTCTAAAAAATCATTCAAAATCCTTGGATACACTAAAAAATCCTAAGATATTCGTAAAAATCGATAGATATCTTTAAAAATGTGTCTAAATTCCTTACAATTTTTAGAAATACCTAATAGTATATAAAACTACTTGGAAATCGTTTCAAAATCCCTGGATATGTTTGGAAATTCCTAAAAAAATCTTCTAAAAACTTGAAATTCTGTAGAAATCTCTGCAAAATCCTAGTTACATTAGGTATTCTAAGAAATTTTTATGGTATACTTGAAAGTTCGTTGAAAGCTTTTGGAAATTTCCTAGAAATACTAAGAAATACCTACATAAGTGTCTGGGAATTATTAAAAATCCTCAGCATTCGTAATAATGCCTGGATATCATTGGAAATCCTTCTAATTGTTCTAAAAAATCATTCAAAAACCTTGGATACACTCAAAACTCCTAAGATATCCGTAAAAATCGATGGATAGCTTTGAAAATGTGTCTAAATTCCTTAAAATTTTTAGAAATACCTAGTTGTATATACAAATTTTTAAAAATCGTTTCAAAATCACTAGATATGTTTGGAAATTTCTGTAAAATCTTCTAAAAACTTGAAATTCTGTAGAAATCTCTGCAAAACCCTAGATAACCTTAGGTATTCTGAGAAATTTTTATGGTATACTTGAAAGTTCGTTGAAAGCTGTTGAAAATTTCCTAAAAATACTAAGAAATGCCTACATAAGTGTCTGGGAAGAATTAAAAATCCTTAGCATTCGTAATTATCCCGGGATAACCTTGGAAATCCTTCCAATATTTCTAACAATCAATCAAAAATCTTGGATACACTCAAAAAATCTTTAAAAATTTTTAGAAATACCTAGTAATATATAAAACTATTTGGAAATCGTTTCAAAATCCCTAGATATGTTTGGAAATTACTAAAAAATTTTCTAAAAACTTGAAATTCTGTAGAAATCTCTACAAAATTCTAGATAACCTTAGGTATTCTGAGAAATTTTTATGGTACACTTGAAAATCCGTTAAAATCTTTTGGAAATCTGCTGGAAATATTAAGAAATGCCTACATAAGTGTCTGGGAAGAACTAAAAGTTCTGGACATTCGTAATAATCATTGGATATCCTTGGAAATCCTTCTAATTTTTCTAAAAAATCATTCAAAATCCTTGGATACACTAAAAAATCCTAAGATATTCGTAAAAATCGATAGATATCTTTAAAAATGTGTCTAAATTCCTTACAATTTTTAGAAATACCTAATAGTATATAAAACTACTTGGAAATCGTTTCAAAATCCCTGGATATGTTTGGAAATTCCTAAAAAAATCTTCTAAAAACTTGAAATTCTGTAGAAATCTCTGCAAAATCCTAGTTACATTAGGTATTCTAAGAAATTTTTATGGTATACTTGAAAGTTCGTTGAAAGCTTTTGGAAATTTCCTAGAAATACTAAGAAATACCTACATAAGTGTCTGGGAATTATTAAAAATCCTCAGCATTCGTAATAATGCCTGGATATCATTGGAAATCCTTCTAATTGTTCTAAAAAATCATTCAAAAACCTTGGATACACTCAAAACTCCTAAGATATCCGTAAAAATCGATGGAGAGCTTTGAAAATGTGTCTAAATTCCTTAAAATTTTTAGAAATACCTAGTAGTATATAAAACTATTTGGAGATCGTTTCAAAATCTCTATATATGTTTGGAAGTTGGTAAAAAATCTTCTAAAAACTTGAAATTCTGTAGAAATCTCTGCAAAATCCTAGATAACCTTAGGTATTCTGAGAAATTTTTATGGTACACTTGAAAATCCGTTAAAATCTTTTGGAAATTTCCTAGAAATACTAAGAAATGCATGCATAAGTGTCTGGGAAGAATTAAAAGTCCTGGACATTCGTAATAATCATTGGATATCCTTGGAAATCCTACTAATTTTTCTAAAAAATCATTCAAAATCCTTGGATACACTCAAAAATCCTAAGATATCCGTAAAAATCTATGGATAGCTTTAAAAATGTGTCCAAATTCCTTAAAATTTTTAGAAATACCTAGTGGTATATAAAGCTATTTGGAAATCGATTCAAAATCCCTAGATATGTTTGGAAATTAATAAGAAATCTTCTAAAAACTTGAAATTCTGTAAAAATCTCTTCAAAATTCTAGATAACCTTAGGTATTCTGAGAAATTTTTATGCTACACTTGAAAATCCGTTGAAATCTTTTGGAAATCTCCTGGAAATATTAAGGAATGCCTACATAAGTGTCTGGGAAGAATTAAAAGTCCTGGGCATTCGTAATAATCATTGGATATCCTTGGAAATCCTTCTAATTTTTCTAAAAAATCATTCAAAATCCTTGCATACACTCAAAAATACTAAGATATCCGTAAAAATCGATGGATAGCTTTGAAAATGTGTCTAAATTCCTTAAAATTTTTAGAAATACCTAGTAGTATATAAAACTATTTGGAAATCGATTAAAAATCCCTAGATATGTTTGGAAATTCCTTTAAAATCTAAAAACTTGAAATTCTGTAGAAATCTCTGCAAAATCCTAGATAACCTTAGGTATTCTGAGAAATTTGTATGGTACACTTGAAAATCCGTTAAAATCTTTTGGAAATTTCCTAGAAATACTAAGAAATGCCTACATAAGTGTCTGGGAATTATTAAAAATCTTCAGCATTCGTAATAATTCCTGGATATCATTGGAAATCCTTCCAATTTTTCTAAAAATTAATCAAAAACCTTGGATACACTCAAAAATCCTAAGATATCCGTAAAAATCGATGGATAGCTTTGAAAATGTGTCTAAATTCCTTAAAATTTTTAGAAATACCTAGTAGTATATAAAACTATTTGGAAATCGTTTCAAAATCCCTAGATATGTTTGGAAATTCCTATAAAATCTTCTAAAAACTTGAAATTCTGTAGAAATCTCTGCAAAATCCTAGATAACCTTAGGTATTCTGAGAAATTTTTATGGTATACTTGAAAATTCGTTGAAATCTCCTGGAAATACTAAGAAATGCATACATAAGTGTCTGGGAAGAATTAAAAGTCCTGGACATTCGTAATAATCATTGGATATCCTTGGAAATCCTTCTAATTTTTCTAAAAAATCATTCAAAATCCTTGGATACACTAAAAAATCCTAAGATATTCGTAAAAATCGATAGATATCTTTAAAAATAATAAGAAATCTTCTAAAAACTTGAAATTCTGTAGAAATCTCTGCAAAATCCTAGATAACCTTAGGTATTCTGAAAAAATTTTATGGTATACTTGAAAATCCGTTAAAATCTTTTGGAAATTTCCTAGAGATACTAAAAAATGCCTACATAAGTGTCTGGGAAGAATTAAAAATCCTCAGCATTCGTAATAATCTCTGGATATCATTGGAAATCCTTCCAATTTTTCTAAAAACTTGAAATTCTGTAGAAATCGCTTCAAAATTCTAGATAATCTTAGGCATTCTGAAAAATTTTTATGGTACACTTGAAAATCCGTTAAAATCTTTTGGAAATACTAAGAAATGCATACATAAGTGTCTGAGAAGAATTAAAAATCCTTGATATTAGTAATAAGCCATAGATATCCTTGGAAATTCTTCCAATTTTTCTAAAAATCAATCAAAAACCTTGGATACGCTCAAAAATCTTTAGACATCCGTAAAAATCGATGGATATCTTTAAAAATGTGTCTAAATTCCTTAAATTTTTAGAAATACCTAGTAGTATATAAAACTATTTGAAAATCGTTTCAAAATCCTTAGATATGTTTGGAAATTCTTTTAAAATCATCTAAAAACTTGAAATTCTGTAGAAATCTCTGCAAAATGCTAGATAACCTGAGGTATTCTGAGAAATTTTTATGGTACGCTTGAAAATCCGTTAAAATCTTTTGGAAATTTCCTAGAAATACTAAGAAATGCCTACATAAGTGTCTGGGAATTATTAAAAATCCTCAGCATTCGCAATACTCCTTGGATATCATTGAAAATCCTTCTAACTTTTCTAAAAATCAATCAGAAACCTTGGATACTTTCAAAAATCTTTAGATATCTGTAAAAATCGATGGATATCGTTAAAAATGTGTCTAAATTCTTTAAAATTTTTAGAAATATCTAGTAGTATATAAAACTATTTGGAAATCGATTCAAAATGCCTAGATATGTTTGGAAATTCCTAAAAAATCTTCTAAAAACTTGAAATTCTGTAGAAATCTCTTCAAAATTCTATATAACCTTAGGTATTCCGATAAATTTTTATGGTACACTTGAAAATCCGTTAAAATCATTTGGAAATCCCTTGGAAATACTAAGAAATGCCTACATAAGTGTCTGGGAAGAATTAAAAATCATAGGCATTCGTAATAATCGCTGGATATCGTTGGAAATCCTTCTAATTTTTCTAAAAAATCATTCAAAATCGTTGGATACACTCAAAAATCCTAAGATATCCGTAAAAATCGATGGATAGCTTTGAAAATGTGCCTAAATTCCTTAAAATTTTTAGAAATACCTAGTAGTATATAAAACTATTAGGAAATCGATTCAAAATCCCTAGATATGTTTGGAAATTAATAACAAATCTTCTAAAAACTTGAAATTCTGTAGAAATCTCTGCAAAATCCTAAATAACCTTAGGTATTCTGAGAAATTTTTATGGTACACTTGAAAATCGGTTAAAATCTTTTGGAAATACTAAGAAATGCCTACATAAGTGTCTGGGAAGAAATAAAAATCCTCAGCATTCGTAATAATCCCTGGATATCATTGGAAATCTTTCCAATTTTTCTAAAAATCATTCAAAAACCTTGGATACACTCAAAAATCCTAAGATATCCGTAAAAATCTGTGGATATTCCTTGAAATCTCTAGAAATATTTGGTTATCTTTGAAAATTTTAGGAAATTGCTACAAAATCCTTGGATGTATTTGGAAATTTTCATAAAACCTTTTAGAAAACCTAAATATCTACAGAATCCTCTGGAAACTCGTTGGNCGTAAAAATCTGTGGATATTCCTTGAAATCTCTAGAAATATTTGGTTATCTTTGAAAATTTTAGGAAATTGCTACAAAATCCTTGGATGTATTTGGAAATTTTCATAAAATCTTTTAGAAAACCTGAATATCTATAGAATCCTCTGGAAACTCGTTGGATTCCTAAAAAATCCTAAGCAATTGGGATGGTATCGTTGAAAATCTTATGGGAATACTTGGAAATGCTTATATTAATCATTAAGAATCGTTAAAATCCTAGATATTATTAATGGATATCCTCTTTTCTAGGATATTCTTGGAAATTCGTACAATTTCTGTACAAATCCTTTAAAAGCTTTCGAAAATGTAAAAAAAATCTAAAAATCGAAATATGTGTAGAAATTTCTGGAAAATGATAAATTTCAATAACACTGTTCTAACGCGTATATATGTGTGTATATATATTAGAAATAACTTACGATCCCTGGGATATTTAGGACAATCCCTAGGTAGTACACATCGCCCGGTCAGTCTGTTTAGCACAAATCTATTTCCGCAATAACACCCGGGTTGGTTGTAACCAATGACCACCCCATCACACGTAGGTCCATTGAAATTAGTTTGATAGTAAGTTTGATTATGTCTGCAGCGGTCTGTCTGTACAGGACAGTACTCAGGAGGTACACACCTCCCAGTGCTGCTGTCGTATACGTAACGCCTGTTGATACACGTGCAACCCTTCGTGCAAATTGCCGGGCAATAAGGCGGGTTATTAATGTTCCCACAGGTCACAGGACATGGTGAAGCGCAATTATCAAAATATTGACCGTCGCCGCATATGATTATTGTTGGTTGTTCGTAATTAATGGCATAAGTTTGTGGAAGATATACTAAAAAAAAAAAATAAAGTTGATATAAATAAAATATTTTATTATAATCAATTTACTTACTAGAATTGAAATCGCCAACGGCAGGGTGAAAACATAAAAGAAAGAATGCGGCAAAGAATTTATGCAAGAACTCCAAAGACATTGTGGCGAAGATTGAATGGACGCGAAGTTGTATTTGCACTGAAATATACAGAGGAGGGTTTGTTTGCGCGGCTTGAAACGGAATGGGTCGAGGAATTTGGAATCGGCTTGGTTTATACGTTTAACCACTTGTGGTCTTTTCATTTTCTTTTTGCCGGGATCCGTAACGATATTGACCGGCAAAACCTGCTTGTCAGGACTTGATAATAATGTTTGCAAGAAGCCAGAGTTCCTCAAATGGTATCTTACTAAACGTTTGTTAAATAAAAATTATTTCTTACATTTTTATTATATCAATTAAACGATGCAATTTTTTTTATTCAAAGATATTTCTAACATAAAAATTATAAAATGTTTAATTTTAAGCATTCCCTATAAAAGTCATACATCGAATTTACTCGTTGATTGTATAACTTGGTATTAGATGCAATAAATTGAGTGTGATAAATTAAATTTAAAGTTTTGAGAATCACTGTTTTGTGGGTACACAAAAAGATGTCTGCTTGAACCGAGCATAATTTCTTCGTTGCACTCAAACAGGATGAAGCGAAACGGAAGATGTTTTCGTTGGCCGTGATGTCAACTATTTTATTAGTATATCAGGTTATCGTTTAAAAAAATTGTATAAGGGTATTTAAGGCTTAAATTTTATGTTGATAATTCCAATTATACCTGCACTATGACGTTGTTAAAAAGTTCTTATTTTAAATCAACAACAGTTTTTCGGAACAATGTCTGTAAAATTATCACGAGTCAGTTGAAAATAAGTTAGATCAATAATTTTTTTTAACAAAAAACTTTTCAAAATACACTTTCGTGTATTCGTCTAATAAATCTTGGAGCACAAATACATCCAACATAGCATTCCAATGTACATGGTGTATTTAGGTCATCCTATTCCAATAATGTGTACACGAAACTACGCAGGTGGTATACATTTAGTTAATAGATTACCTTGATTACGAAAACGTAGTTTCATAAAATGACGACGAAAAAATATCAGAGATATTAGCTACTTCCGGAAAAATCCTTTAAAATAAGTTCAAACTCGATGGGATTATCTCCAAAAATAACCGAGATATTAATATTTTAAATGTTTATTTGCTAACTTCATGTTATTAACTAAAAATTTATTCATTCTGTATCCATGTTGTTGTTTGAGATAAAAATAACCGAGATATTATCTATATTCCGCTTATAAATCAAAAAAACAACGAAATTGATGCTTAATTCATTTTTATTTTTCGTTTAATATAAGATGTTTAACTCTTAAGGGCAACTTTCTTCGGGGATACAAGCAGAAGTGTTATTATCTATTGTACGTACAAATCCATCTTTACAGAAACATCCTTCAACGCATTGAGTCGTACACGCAGTACCTTCTGGTTTTCCACAATAATCTTGACAGGCAGTTCCACACACTTTATATATTTCATTTTCACCACAAGTAGGGCATTCAGATATAAGAATGCAATCGTCATCTTCTGCATCTATTGCTCTCTTGGTGTAACCACTAGCTTCATCACAGAAACAATCTGCCACGCACTGCTTGGTGCAAGGTGCAGGCTCTTTATTACAGTATTCTCGGCAGGCAGATCCGCAGGAGTTATATACTTGGGGTGGAACACATGTTTGTGCAATAACAGCAGCAGCTAAAAATTGTTGATAAAATTAATGTAGAAGAATATTAAATTAAAAAATTTACCGAAAGCTAAGAATAAAGCAACAAAAGCTAATGATTTATTCATTGTTGGGGATATTATGTCTGTTCTCTGTAAAAGATCAAACTCAAACTGATTTGAATGTTGGTTTGGTTCGTTTTTATACCAAGTAGTGAGATTTTGTAACTAAATTTAATCACGTTTTTTTAACATAATTATTGTATTTTGTTGTATAGTTATTTGTTACAAATAATAAATTTACTTACTTTAGTCAAGGTTTAAGTTTGAATTTTCAATGTTATCTTAAATATTAATAGGCAGTATTATTTAAATTTTTATTTGTTACTCAATAAACCGAGATATTAATATTTGAATGAAATAAACGAAACATTAAACGCTAAATGGATGTTAGCAGCATTCATCTTGAAAAATATCCGAGATATTAGCTACTTCCGGTTATCAATTTTAACATTAAATTTGCAATTTTCTTAATCTCCGTGAAAAATCCTTTAAAATAAGTCCAAACTCGATGGGGTTATCTCCAAAAATAACCGAGATATAAATATTTTTAATGTTATGTTGCTAACTTCATGTTACCAACCTAAAATTTATTAATTTTGTATCCATGTTGTTTTTTGAGATAAATTCGTCGTGTTTGGATTCATTTTAAAGGATATTTTATGAAGATTAAGAATATTTCAAAATTAAAAGTGATTTTATAAACCGGAAGTAATCAATAACTCGGTTATTTTTAAAGTTAGATATGTCATGTTTGTAGATATAACTAAATTTTTATGAAAATTTAATTTACTTGAATGAAAAAGCGAAATTTCAAACGCTAAATGGATGTGAGCAGCATTCATCTTGAAAAATATGCGAGATATGAGCTACTTCCGGTTATCAATTTTAACATTAAATTTGCAATTTTCTTAATCTCCGTGAAAAATCCTTTAAAATAAGTCCAAACTCGATGGGGTTATCTCCAAAAATAACCGAGATATGAATATTTTTAATGTTATGTTGCTAACTTCATGTTACCCACTTAAAATTTATTAATTTTGTATCCATGTTGTTTTTTGAGATAAATTCGTCGTGTTTGGATTCATTTTAAAGGATATTTTATGAAGATTAGTAATATCTCAAAATTAAAAGTGATTTTATAAACCGGAAGTAGTCAATAACTCGGTTATTTTTAAAGTCAAATATGTCATGTTTGTAAATATAACTACGTTTTATGTAAATGTAATTTACTTGAATGAAAAAGCGAAACTTTAAACGCTAAATAGATGTTAGCAGCATTCATCTTTAAAAATAACCGAGATATTAGCTACTTCCGGTTATCAATATTAACATTAAATTTGCAATTTTCTTAATGTTCGTAAAACATCCTTTAAAATAAGTCCAAATTCGATGGGGTTATCTCCCAAAATAACCGAGATATGAATATTTTTAATGTTATGTTGCTAACTGCATGTCACCAACATAAAATTTATTAATTTTGTATCTATGTTGTTTTTTGAGATAAATTCGTCGTGTTTGGATTCATTTTAAAGGATTTTTTATGAAGATTAAGAATATTTCAAAATTAAAAGTTATTTTATAAACCGGAAGTAGTCAATAACTCGGTTATTTTTAAAGTTAGATATGTCATGTTTGTAGATATAACTACGTTTTTATGTAAATTTAATTTACTTGAATGAAAAAGCGAAACTTTAAACGCTAAATGGATGTTAGCTGCATTCATCTTGAAAAATATCCGTGATATTAGCTACTTCCGGTTATCAATATTAACTTTAAATTTGTATTTTTCTTAATCTTCGTAAAAAATGCTTTAAAATAAGTCCAAACTCGATGGGATTATCTCCAAAAATAACCGAGATATAAATATTTTTAATGATATGCTGCTAACTTCATGTTACCAACTTAAAATTTATTAATTTTGTAGTTATGTTGTTTTTTGAGATAAATACGTCGTGTTTGGACTCATTTTAAAGCATTTTTTATGATAATTAATAATATCCTAAAATTAAAATTAATTTTGATAACCGAAAGTAGCTAATAACACATTATTACAAAAAAAGCAGCATATAAGAAAAACAACACATTTTTCATAATGTTCGTATATTACATCTACCTCTATTTTTTAACAATTTAATAAAATTTCTTAATTATTCCAAAATTAAGCTTGAAAATCGGGACATTCGCTGTAAGGAATACAATCGTTGGAATTTTCCGACCTCTTAATATATCCAGGTTTACATTGGCATCCTTTAGCGCACCTTCTTGGACAATTTTCAACTTCGGGTCCTCCGCAATATCTGGGACACGGAGAACCGCACAAATAATAAGTTTTGTTTCGCCCGCATCTTTCCACTCTACGACAATCTTTTTCCAAGACGCAATTATCCGAATCAATATAATCTTTAACATAACCCGGGGCACATCCGCAACCGATTATACATTGCTCGGTGCAAATTTGGAATTCATCCTTGTTATTGCAATAATCGGGGCAAGCGGTGTTGCAATAACTAAAGACTTGATTTACGGAGCATTTTGGAAGTGTCTCTTCTGCTGTTGCGGAAGCAACTAAAATTATCGCTTAGTTTATAAGAATTCTAATAATTTTATTGAAATTATTTAACTTACATGAGATTAAACTTAAAGTGAGGATTGCTAAAAAGTTCTTCATGGTTCTTCAGTGTGAGAATGATGTGGTTAATTTTTTTGCTAAGTATTTATACTAAATGTTATCTTAAATCCACACATAAATTCAACATAAAGGCAATAAAAATGGTGTTGCAGACTCCACGTAATTATTTGTTTATACATAAATTAAATTATGTATAAACAAGAAAAATAAGGTCAAAAAAACAACGAAATTGATGCTTAATTAATTTTTATTTTTAGTTTAATATAAGATGTTTAACTCTTAAGAGCAACTTGCTTCGAGGATGCAAGCAGAAGTGTTATTATCTATTGTACGTACGTATCCATCTTTACAGAAACATCCTTCCACGCATTGTTCAGTACACGAAGTACCTTCTGGTTTTCCACAATAATCTTGACAGGCAGTTCCACACAATTTATATATTTCATTGGCACCACAAGTAGGGCATTCAGATGTAAGAACGCAATCGTCATTTGCCGCATCTATTGCTCTCTTGGTGTAACCATTAGCTCCATTACAGAAACAATCTGCCACACATTGCATGGTGCAAATTCCACCAGCTGGTTTATTACAGTAATCTGGGCAAGCAGATCCGCAAGAGTTCCACACTGTGTTTGGACCACATGTGTGTGCAATAACAGCGGCAGCTAAAAATTATTGATAAATTTAATTTAGAAAAATATTAAATTAAAAAATTTACCCAAAGCTAAAAATAAAGCAACCAAAGCTAACAATTTATTCATTGTTGGGAATATGTTTATGTCTAAAGTCGAACTGATTTGAATGTGGATTTGGTACGTTTTTATACCAAGTAGTGAGATTTTGTAACAACTTTTTATCACGTTTTTTTTAACATTATTATTGATTGTTTTTGTGTAGTTATTTGTTACTATAATAAATTTACTTGCTTTAGACAAGGTTTAAGTTTGAATTTTTCAATGTATTCTTAAATATTAATAGGTAATATATATTTAAATTTTTATTTCTTAGTCAATAATCCGAGATATTAGCACGATACAACCTTGAAAAGAGCAGTGGATGGCCTTCAAATATTGACGGAGAAAATCGAAAGCTGGTTCAAAATCTGAAAAATTCTACCATTCCATAGATTATCTGAAAATTCTCCGAATACTTTGGTACATCCAAAGAATTCTTATAAATATCTTGGGATAAACTTTGGTAGCAAATTAAAATTTGACATACACACGAAAAGGGTTAAAATGAAAGTTAAAGCACGTGCAAAGCAATTTAGATGTCTCACCTACAAGAACAATGAGATAAATTTTAAATGTGCGCATTTATAAAACAATTTGCAAACCCATTCTTGATTATAGAGCTCCCATCTTCCTTAATATCAGTAAAAAGGTGACATCGCATCTAGAAGTAGCAGAAAGATCAGCAATTAGAATAATATCCAAACCTATAACAAACTCCTTTATGAAAAATTCCAAATTACAGTCCATTACTCAACGAATATCTCTCCTCGCACAAAAACCTTATAAAAATATGTCCTCAAACCCTTCTCCTCTTTTCCAATCCTCAAATTTTGACACTATTTACAAGAAAATCGTGGATTCCTAAAAGATGACTAATCAATGTAACATGGGCGTTTCAGCTTCAAAGTTTAACTTTAAGTTTACATTGTATAATAATATTATTTCATTTTTAATTGTATTGTGATAAGCTGGATCTCTTCCCGAGATATTAATATTTGAATGAAACATATTGAGTTGAATGAAGCAAACGAAACTTTAAACATAAATTTGTCAATATTAACATTAAATTTGCAATTTTCTTAATCTTCGTGAAAAATCCTTTAAAATAAGTCCAAACTCGATGGGGTTATCTCTAAAAATTACCGAGATATGAATATTTTTAATGTTATGTTGCTAACTTCATGTCACCCACTTAAAATTTATTAATTTTGTATCCATGTTGTTTTTTGAGATAAATTCGTCGTGTTTGGATTCATTTTAAAGGATTTTTTATGAAGATTAACAATATCTCAAAATTAAAAGTGATTTTATAAACCGGAAACAGTCAATATCTCGATATATTTTTAAAGTTAAATATGTCGTGCTTGTAGATGTAACTACGTTTTTATGCAAATTTAATTTAATTGAATGAAACAAACGAAACTTGAAACGCTAAATAGATGTTAGCAGCATTCATCTTGAAAAATAGCCGTGATATTAGCTACTTCCGGTTATCAATATTAACATTAAGTTTGCAATATTCTTAATCTTCGTGAAAAATTCTTTAAAATAAGTCCAAACTCGAAGGGGTTATCTCCAAAAATAACCGAGATATGAATATTTTTAATGTTATGTTGCTAACTTCATGTCACCAACTTGAAATTTATTAATTTTGTATCCATCTTGTTGTTTGAGATAAATTCGGCGTGTTTAGATTCATTTTAAAGGATTTGTTATGAAGATTAACAATATCTCAAAATTAAAAGTGATTTTATAAACCGGAAGTAGTCAATAACTCGGTTATTTTTAAAGTTAGATATGTCATGTTTATAGATATAACTACGTTTTTATGTAAATTTAATTTACTTGAATGAAAAAGCGAAACTTTAAACGCTAAATGGATGTTAGCTGCATTCATCTTGAAAAATATCCGAGATATTAGCTACTTCCGGTTATCAATTTTAACATTAAATTTGCAATTTTCTTAATCTTCGTGAAAAATCCTTTAAAATAAGTCCAAACTCGATGGGGTTATCTCTAAAAATTACCGAGATATGAATATTTTTAATGTTATGCTGCTAACTTCACGTTATCAACTTAAAATTTATTAATTTCTTATCCATGTTGTTTTTTGAGATAAATACGTCGTGTTTGGGTTCATTTTAAAGGATTTTTTATGAAGATTAATAATATCTCAAAGTTAAAAGTGATTTTATAAACCGGAAGTAGTCAATACCTCGATATATTTTTAAAGTTAAATGTGTTATGTTTGTAGATATAACTATGTTTTTATGCAAATTTTATTTACTTGAATAAAATAAACGAAACTTTAAACACTAAATGGATGTTAGCATTAGGGTTGAAAAAAAAACATGTATTTTTTTAATTTTATACAAAATACATGTTTTTTTTTGTTTTAAACGTTTTTTTTTTTTAATCATATTTTTTTAAACATAATAGCATAATATTAATTGAAAATGTTTGATCTATTATTCTACTAAATAATAGATACCTTATTTCAAGTCCGACTCTGTACTAAACTGTCGCGATCGGCTGTTACGAACTAGAGAGGACCTATTGGCCTGCAGGAACCACAAACTACCACAGACTATTTATAAATTCGCATTGCAAGTTGTCTATTGCAATAACGTCCACTGTAAGTTATTTTGTGCGTGTGGTGTTCTTTTTTGAAAAATGTCGTCTACGGGAAAGAAGAAAGATGCCATTTGGTCATATTTTGATGTTGTTAAAGATAATAACAAAAAATCAGGGACTGCTAAATGTAAAAAATTTAAGTAATTATGGCTGGACTAGTGCTGCGTATGAAGAAACATTCAAAAATGTGTTCCATCTGCTACCAATGTCAACCATCTATGATTCCGAGTCAGATGAGGATTTAACGCTAGATGAGATATCCAAAACCCAAAAATATTCAAGGGCTGCTTACCCAGATAATAATACAGGTTGAAGATTGGACAACGCTGCAAATGTGACCAAAATGAGAAGGGATTAGTTTGAGGAATTAGACAGCAAAGATATAATAACTTATGGTTGTTCAGCGCATATATTGAACTTACTTGCCCATGATATAGAAGTGCCAGGAATAAAGAGTAATATCAAAAAAAATTGTAAATATTTCAGAAATGTTCATTTTGTTAGCGCAAAATTCCGAGAAACTAGTGGTTCTGCTCTTGTATTGCCTCAGAATGTTCGTTGGAATACTTTATCGGACTGCTTGGAAAGTTACTTGAAAAAGGGATATAATAAAGCTTGGAAATGACACTAATTTAAAGAGAAATACCCAAGACTATTTAAAAAAATTAAAGTATATCGCAGTTGCTTTGGACAAAGTTCAAAGAAACAGTGGCACTATAGGAGAAGCTACAAAGATATGGCTAGAACTTTTGGAAGTATTCGAGACTGAATAAGCAAATGGAGAATTTTCGGTAAGTGATACGAATAAAGTCAAGGAGCGTATGGAAATGGCTTTGACCCCAGCTCATTTTTTGGCAAATTTGTTTGATCGTCGCTTTAGAGGAAATAAACTTAGTCAAGAGCAAATAGAAACTTACATGGAATATGTAGATACCTATCAACCAAAATCATTGCCAATTATTATTAATTACCAGGCAAAGTTACTAATTGGGAATGTAAAACCATTGGCATGGTGGCGTTCTATGAAAAATATAAATACGACAGCATTGGAACTTGCTCAACAGTTTCATACAGTTATTGCATCGTCAGCCAACATAGAAAGACTCTTCTCATCATATAGTTTAGTCCATTCAAAACTACGTAATCGGCTAGACAATGTCAAAGTTGCTAAGTTGGTTTCAATTTTTAAAGAGCTTAATTCCATCAGTGATGACGTGACTCATCAATAAATAATATGTATGTTAAAAAGTTTGTATAATGTATTTGAGAATTTTTCCTAATTTTATTCATTGTAGTATTAATAAAGAAAATATAAAAAACACTTGTTTAATTTAAGTATTTTAAACATGTTTTAAACCTAAGCAAATGATTATTATTGATTAAAACAAAATGTTTAAAACGAAACAACTCTGATTAGCATCATTCATGTTGAAAAATAGCCGGGATATTAGTTACTTCCGGTTATTAATATTAACATTAAATTTGCGATTTTCTTAATCTTCATGAAAAATCCTTTAAAATAAGTCCAAACTCGTTGGGGTTATCTCCAAAATTAACAGACATATGAATATTTTTAATGTTATGTTGCTAACTTCATGTCAATAACTTAAAATTTATTAATTTTGTTTTTTGAGATAAATACGTAGCGTTTGGATTCATTTTAAAGGATTTTTTATGAAGATTAGTAATATCTCAAAATTAACATTAATTTTATAAACCGAAACTTGCTAATAACAAATATTATTACAACAAAAAATGTTTGTATATTACGTTTACTTCTAATTTTGTTTTTTTAACAATTTAAAAAAAATTTTTATTTATTTAAAAATTAATCTTGAAAATCGGGACATTCACTGTAAGGAATATGTTATCTTAAACCCATATAATATATAAATTCAACATAAAGGCAATAAAAATGGTGTTGGAGACGTAATTATTTGTTTATACATAAATAAATTTATATATAAACAAAAAAATAGGGTAAAAAAACAACGAAATTGATGCTTAATTAATTTTTATTTTCCGTTCAAAATAAGATGTTTAACTTTTAAGGACAACTTGCTTCGAGGATGCAAGGAGAACTGTTATTATTTGTTGTACGTACGTATCCATTTTTACAGAAACATCCTTCAACGCATTGAGTCGTACACGTAGTACCTTCTGGTTTTCCACAATAATCTTGACAGGCAGTTCCACACACTTTATAAATTTCATTGGCTCCACACGTAGGGCATTCAGATGTATGAATACAATCGTCATCTTCCGCATCTATTGCTCTCTTGGTGTAACCATTAGCTTCATCACAGAAACAATCTGCCACGCACTCCGTGGTGCAAGGTTCACCAGGTGGTTTATTACAGTATGGTCGGCAAGCAGGTCCGCAATCGTCCCAT